TGCTTCTTGAAAGTTTTAAAGATTTTCAAGTAAGTTTGTCACTATTGCGAAACTCTTTTAGGAAGTGAGGGCTTATACACTCAGCTATGAATCATATCCTACTCTTGAGTTAGGGAAAATGGTGCGGCCTATCTTCTCAAATCGAAGTAGGTGGAAAGGGGTTGGAACTTGCAACGTACTGATGGAAAAAAGTGATTTAACAATTGCTATACTCAGTTGAGAAACGGTACAGTTGTAGATATTTTCTCCAAATCTATGTTACTTTTTTTGGTGACATCAGTTGATTTAGTCTCTATTTTAAACAAAAACTATGGTAGTTAGTTATTGTATTCTTAACTTTCACATAAAAAAACACACGTTTTCATGAACCCACAATACAATTTATTAAACATGTGATTGAAGTTATGTACTATCATAAAGTATATAACAGACTGCGGTAAAACACCTACAGAGAGATACTATGACTTCATTTGATTATACCCCTTAAACAACATACAATTATTGATGTTAATTTTGGTTTAGGCGTTAAAAAAATCGGGAATGCTAAAAAACCTTACATAGGTTATAGAATTTTGACAACTGAACATACAAAATTAAAGCGAAAACAGCGAATTGTTCGTAATGACTAGGAGAGGATAAAAAGAAAGCGTAGGTGTTTTATCAACAAACTATAATATACTTGGACTAGTGCCAGTTAAACTATATATATATGTACTACATGTACATGAAGAGCACATGAGTGACTCACGTGGTTTTGTAGACATTTGAGCTGGAAAAAACAATGATAAACGATATACGTGGGCGGAGAAGAAAATGCAAATATTATCAGAAAAACGAGGTAACAAGTTAATTCAATGAAGATGAATGTAGATTAAAATATATACACCAAAGTTATATGAATCAGCAAATATATCATTGGTTTTTTTTCTATAAGAATAATACAAGTGTTATGACGTTATCACTAACCTTTAAGAATGAATAAAAAAGAAATTTAATAGATATAGAAATATTCATAGATTGAAAGCATGAGTCAGTTGAAGCTAGACCACTGCTGAGGAGTCCTATGCTAGGAAGAAACGGCCGTCCAGTGCTTCCAGGTTTTCAATGGTGGTCTAACTTCAACTGACTCATGATTCCAATCTGTGAAAATTTCTAAAATCTCCACAAACCTCTTCTGAAAATATAAAAATACTTTTCAAGATACAATCGTATGAATAATTGTAAAGTACTTATCAATCAGAATATTTATAAATCGTACCAACAAATATGTTAGTTTCGTCACTATTAATCAATCCAAATTAGACGATCTTTAGTCCATTCACCTGTCACCAAATTAAAATTTTATTGTATCAACTTTCAATTCCGATTGTTAGATTGTCATGATTTCACATTCGTATTTCTGTCAAATGTTGTAGATTGATTTTGTTATGAATTTAAGTTGATTTTATGAACCTATTGTGTCGTTGGGTTCATTTTTCTCTTTTTCTTCCAGATTCCTTTATATTTACTACTCTTCACTTACCTCCAATGTATAATGTACGTCCAAGTCCAATTAAAACATATCAAAGATATAATTTTAGAGTTTATGCATATTTTGCCTTCGTGTAAATATTGATCGATTATTCTTGAATGTTTTGTAAATCTTCATTAACTTAAAAATGTTTAGCTCATTCATTCGTTAATTTGTAAGTTTCATCAGAATATTTATTTCAATCCAGTTATATTCCCATGCTAACTATTAAGAGAAATGTACAAAAACAACTAGATTCATCGACTGGTGTCTCGTATAACTAACTGAAAAACATGAGACTCTAATTTACTTTTTTTTCCAGTTAGGACACTCCGCACAAGCTGTTAATTGTTATTCTACTGAATCTTCGTGACCGCGGATAAATGTGACCCATGTAAAACTTCATTAATATTTCTGTACATTGGATTCAAAATGTTTGCAGTTGAAGATTTGTTTGCACGCAAATCAGAATTCTCACTGAGCTCTACTGAGTTGAAACAAAGGATAAGTGGATATCTGAAGTTTTCTTAAAGAGACACTTGATTTAGAATCGAAGCAGATCATAAACATTTGCAGAAAGTGGGTCTCTCTAAGAAAACATCGGTCAACCTGGCAGAATTTTGAGCGAAAATTGAGTAATGTTGAGGGTTGTGGGAAATTTTTCTTGACAACTTTGAGGAAATATTTATCTTTTCTCACGACAGGTAAAATGAACCCTAAAAGATTGGATTTCATTTGAATTTAGTTAGATGTTTTGTTTTTATTTTCCTAAACTCGATGACTTGGAATTATGCCAAATGTTTATGAAATGGATAGATTAATTCATTTTGTGTAAATTCTCTGATTAGTAATAAATAGTTTTTTTTTAAAAAACAAACGAACATTTACAAAAGTTCATAAGTTGCTGTATACAAGGTTGATGTAATAGTTTAATGTTCTTCCAGATTATATAAATTTTGTAGAGTGAACCAGGAGGAACAATAAAAGCACTCCAATATTTTTACTTTGGTGGTAAAGAAAATTGATATTTTATCAATTATATGTCAATACATCTTGTAACAAAATTACTCACAAATTTCTCGACTATTATGCATTTTTATTAGTTTCTAATGTATTGTATGCGTGGTACATATTTTTTATCGCTTATATAACAGTCACAACATTGTTATCCATCCATAAAATTCAAACTTTTATACTAATATTTCCACATTGAATTAGTTTTTGATAGATGCGGTTGTCATGGGCATAATGAAAATCGATGATGAAGTTACATATTGGCTACTTTGATTGCTTTTGTAATGAGGCACATTAAATATTTTGAATGCATATGAACTGGTTACTGCTACATGAGTCTTTTTCATGTTCACCTTAAAAAGCGTTTGACTGCCCTGATGAAAACATATTTAGGGTTTTAAACAACCTTGCGTAAAATACTGTATTTGAGCAGTCCAATCACAAGTTAATAATGATAATTGTGGGTCTTTTCAAGTTACAGATATTACGCAAAGAGTTAGCTTGCTTTTAATCGACGCTCCACTACCTATAACATAAAGCCTCTATTCGAGAAACCACTGAGAAGTGATAATCAACTCGAAGTTCGAAAACTATAACTAAGGCAGACCCACCATGAATAGATCAATAACTTCTAGTTTACGATTACTGACTTAAGAATAAAATAACTAAAACTAGCAACATTAATCAAATCGTCAGTATAGGGTTATATTGTTGAATTTAATTAAAATCATAAATCGATCAATGTTAGATCATCATTGAAAACCTGGACGGCCGTTTCGTCCTAGCATTTGGCTCCTCAGCGATGCGCACTCGCGTTCCCGCAGGCAGGGATCTAACCCAGGAACTTCAGCTTCGCGTGGACATTTACCTTCTAGACTACTCAGCACCCAACGGTGTTAATAATGCCTGACTTCAACCAATTGACGATATCGCCCGACCATCTACCATTGTCACTTAGTTATATCCTATACTTCATTTTCAAGAGCTACTGAGACTCCTAAGCTTTTCATTAGGGAAGAGCCTTCAATATTTTATTTTGATCTTATCGTGGAGTAGAAGTATAATACATCTTCTTAAAAATAATGAGGATTCAGGATTTCGATTAGAGGATCGAATCACTGAACATATATCCACAATATTATTCTAGTTCCATGTAAGATATTAAGAAAAGGACACATGCATTTCTCACGTCATAACCTTTCAAAAACGAAAATTACGAACACATTCCGTCAATATTTATGGATATTCAATGAACGTTTACTGTTTTTTTAAGATTTTGTACTGTTAATGTTGTTTCGGCTATCTCACAAAATGCTTAATTTTCCAACTATAACATCAAATATTCTGATTTTGTTATTTTTACTTGGATCTTGTTGGGTGATACAACAATTAAGTGAACGCTTTTAAGACTAAACCGTATAATCGTAAAGATAATTTTATAACTAATAACATAGGCCAACGAACTTACTATTATTAATAATTAAGACATTACAATTCGAACGTATACCATATTTTCAATCAAATGACTTAAGAAAATATTTATAAGCGATATATATACTTAGTAAGGATTATATGTATGCAGAACACAGCCGAAACACAAACGTTCGAGTAAAGTTTATGTTATTCAGTGGCTTCATTATCTTCTTAAGTTATTCACTTCAGATTGTTTTCTCAAATTTTCATTTGTACATCTACAAGGACATGACAGTATACTTTTTCGTAAGAATTTGCTTACCTTAATTAAACCAAGCATTGTTGTTGTTCATCACCAAGAAAATACGACCATACTTATGAGTGTCATATGCACCGAAATCACAGAATTCCAATGATTACGTGTAGGAAACCAAAAAGCCAGAAATACCACATTTACCTCTGTATTGTATTTTGAATTAGTTTTCGTGTCATAAAACACTATGAACTAAAATAATTAACCAAAGAACAGGACCTCATTATGTCATTTCTGACTTATAACCTTTTCTGATATCTTTACATTCATGTGAATCCCAGAATATTCAAAACACCATTTACGAAAATGTTTAATACATTTATTTATCTCATTTAACAGTTATTAAAAATAATTTACATAAGAATTAGTTTGCTTGTAAAATATTTTCTTAAAAAAATATACAGATTTAATTATTTATGCATAATACACACATAAGGTTATAAAAAAAATGTATACTTTGAGTTAACTAGATAAAAATTATGTCTGTAAAGTAGATAAGAGAAATGTATGCTACTCTTGAAGTTCAACTCATGTTACAATTTTGCTGCTTCTTTAAACAAAGTTGTAAAGTGATAAAACTCAAATTTAAAAAAAATCAATTCCCGTTATTTCTCCTAACAATTTTGTTAAGTTTATACATTCGAAAAATGACATGGATATGTGTGAACACTATTATAACAGTTTACTTTTTAAATCGATAAAGTTATGTTTTTATGAATAAGTAGAATGAAATGATAATAATAATTGTGATTAATCATGAATTGTACATTCCTGAGTATTTAATATATTTATTAGAGAACTGGCGTATGGGGGAAGGATTACACTTTGATCGTCATTGACAACATAAACATCTACAACGATAGGACTGCGACGACAAGCAGAAGAGCATACATTACTGCCAGATAAACCAGTTCCACCGCTAGCATATCCTATATGTGTACTACCACTACATGTTGGATCGTTAACAGCCATTGCACCGATCCCGGCACGCATATCTGGATCATATATAAATCCAATATCAGCGCTGGTATGAGCTACTGCAGCCTTTGAACTCTGTGTCGGTGTAACTACAACAGAACTGAGTGTACGAGTACGCCGGAAAAAAGAACAACCAGTGGAACTTTGGTTAGTTGAAAATAAACGAGATAGTTGTTTTGGTAAACCTCGTTGCCATCTTGGAGGTCGGGGTCGACCATTGGGTTTCGCTGTGTACAGTGGGGGTTCTCGAAAATCACTAAGCGCATAAGAATACTCACTAGAGTCATGTGGCTTGTGTTTAATTGATTTTTTGGAATGACGCCTAGGTAAACCAGTAGACGGAAATGTTGAAGTGAGCTGTAAAGCAGCATTACAAAAGAGGGTTCCTTTTTTCCACATCACTCCATACCCAGCAAAATCATGACCACATAGGTGTAAAACAGGTCTGAAACAGAAACAAAGGGTTTTTAAGATGGTAAACTCTTTTTTGAATGGTAAAATGGTTTAATATATATAAATTAATAACTAAAAAGCAATAACTACGCACTACCTAGTCACAATACAAAACTTAGGATAATATACAATAAAAATTCCTAAACTATTTCAATAGTACATGATTCATGTCAACATTTTTCATAGGTGTGTAACTTCCCAACTAAATACCATCTATAAAGTTACTGTGCTGTTTAGCCAAAAAACAGTTCGCGTTGAAAGTTTCTTCGATTAACAATCGATAAATTGTTTTTAAAACTGATGTTATATAGCTCATAAAATCAATAAGGTACCTTTGAATGGTACCATCTAATGATATATGTTATTCAACAATGTTTTCAGAATTAGTTTAGCTTAATATGCATAATTCCTAATGGAGATGAATAAACAGAAATAAATTTTGGCTAACAGCAGACGATGATCAACGATCTATTTATGATGGATTTCTTCACAGAAATTCAGTGCTAATGAAACGTCCGCATCCAAAAAATGGAACTCAGTAGAAAAAATCTAGTTATCAATCATTCTCAGACTTCTGGAACAAATTTTTCTGTAAGTACTACAATAGTGGATTTTAAAAAGAATACACTACAGTAAAACCTTTCCAACTGTACACTTTAGACAATTGACTATTCGATTTATGTATAATTCTTTTTATTTAAACCTTGGAATTTTATAAAAGTAATACCAAGATGAAAATATTATCACGGTACAAAATGAAAATAACACAATACTATTTAATACAATTATCGGAGAGACTATAATTTATGAACGAACCAATCACATTTGGGATAATAGGTTTTGGATTTTGGCGAGAAATTCATTCATCTGTTTGGCTCGATAATGTTTTGGCATTTTAGATTATGTCAGTTCATGATGAAAACCGTAAATCTAATTTCTAATCCTAACTATCAATTGTAAATCATAATGCTTATTCTTCAAAGTGCTTTATAATCCTCATTTAGCTCTAGTAAGTAGATGGACATTCTCAAGGTCGCTTTAGCGTCGCCCAAAGGTCGTCCATAAATTATAATCTCACCCAATTATCATACAAAAGAACAGGATAGTATTAGCAATAATAACAGCAATAAGATTTTGTTAATAATGAAAAGTATATAAGTAGATGTGAATCAACGAATTACTCTATTATTCACACCCATTAATTAAACATCTTACGTCAATAAAGATAGTAAACACATGTGATCATGTGTATGTGACAGTGTCAAATTGATTGTGAATTTTAATAATTAAAAACCAATCAAAAATACTTTATGTTAAATTTTAATTAAGAGACCAATATCTATCAGGGTTTCCGACTAACTTACGATATTTGCTAATTAAGGAACAATTAAACTGTTTTAACACGGACGTCTCTATTATGGATTTAATAACGACAGATAACATATAACACTCAAACAATTAGGCGCTGGCGAAGGGAATGAATGAAGCGTAGCAAGAACCTGATATTGAAGAACAGTTTGAAGTACTAGAATTCAGTATATTTAATAATAAAAGCATGACTTTCAAGTATACAGAAAATTAGCGAACTAAAAATAAAGACAATCAGAAAAGAGCACATATCATGCAATAAATTGGATTGGAAACAAATCAGTCGCAGTTACCGTACCTAGGTAAGACTGTAACATTATTAACAAAAATGGAGTAATTCCTTGATATCCCTAACAAGTTGTAAACAACGCTTCCTAGGCATTGGACCGTAACTTAGAGGTCATAAATACTCTAGAATCTGAAGAGTATTTCGAAGTTCCTACTATTAGAAGTTACGTCTATGCATTATTACAGAGTGAACTAATATTTACTGGGGAAAAAACTAAGTAATTCTGTTTCGTCTCATTTTCTGTTAGGTTTCTTCATCTAGTTCCAGCGAAACTGTGAAATTCCCTTGGAAACATATTTATAAAAATCGACTAATCAAAGGTAAATAATAGAAAATCCATAAAACATTGACATATTTCATTTATTGTAAAAGCCACTATGAGAATATTTTTTATTATGAACTGAAAAAGAAATTTATTTAAAAAAACCCATGGAATGAATTCGTTAGCTCAATAATAACTTGCTTTGAAATGAACGTTCGATGAAATCCCACTGTATTTAATATGACATATCGAGTCAATGAAGTCAACAATGCTATTATGTGATGATGATAATTGTGAATAGATTGACTTGAATTTAAATGTGATGATTAAATAGTAACATAATTATTGTACAATTTGGCCACATCCCTAACAGATTGTACAGTACTTTCAAACTGTAATAAAATATGAATATAGGGTTGTGGGGATTGTTAAGTTTTATTGAAATCATGAGCCAATCAATGTTAGACCACTATTGAAAACCTAGAAGCACTGGATGACAGTAATAACATATTCGTCTAATAGAATTTGTAATAAATGCTGACTCTTTCTCTTTGTTTCTCCTTTTCTTAGCTTTTAATTATCTTAAAATGATACTGAAACTTTAACTACAACAGATAATACTCTCACAAGTTGAAATCATGAGTCAGTTGAAGCTAGACCACCATTGAAAACCTGGAAGCACTGGACGGCCGTTTCGTCCTAGTATGGGACTCCTCAGCAGTGCGCATCCACGACCCCGCACCACCCGGGGCTCGAACCCAGGACCTACTGGCTTCGCGCGCGAGCACTTAACCATTAGACCACTGAGCCGGCATCCAACGGTGTTAATGTCTAACTTCAACCAATCCACGAAGTTGCGCTACCGTACACCATTGTCCTCAGTGAGTTCCTATCTCACAACAGACCTGGTTGAACTCCACTGGTAACGACTTCTCACTAGAACTCCAGAAGTGTCTCCTGAAGTCAGTCACTAGTGAGCAGGTGATTATTATTATCAGAATGGGTTTTTGTGGAGATTTTAGAAATTTCACAAGTTGAAATCTCCACAAAAACCCATTCTGATAATAATAATCACCTGCTCACTAGTGACTGACTTCAGGAGACACTTCTGGAGTTCTAGTGAGAAGTCGTTACCAGTGGAGTTCAACCAGGTCTGTTGTGAGATAGGAACTCACTGAGGACAATGGTGTACGGTAGCGCAACTTCGTGGATTGGTTGAAGTTAGACATTAACACCGTTGGATGCCGGCTCAGTGGTCTAATGGTTAAGTGCTCGCGCGCGAAGCCAGTAGGTCCTGGGTTCGAGCCCCGGGTGGTGCGGGGTCGTGGATGCGCACTGCTGAGGAGTCCCATACTAGGACGAAACGGCCGTCCAGTGCTTCCAGGTTTTCAATGGTGGTCTAGCTTCAACTGACTCATGATTTCTACTTGTGAAATTTCTAAAATCTCCACAAAAACCCATTCTGATAAAGATAATACTCTATCATTAAATTAATTTATCACTTAACTAAAGATGTAGTTTGGTGGTGAAAATATTTGGCTTTTCATCACTAGTAATTTGTAGATTTGAACGAGGCTCCTCCTACTTCAGTTTAAGGAGTATTATTTACTCTTAAGTATATAAATTTGTGAAGAAATCACCCAAAAACAGAAAAAACTACTCTAAAAACAAACTTCTAATTTAAACACATTTTATTTACTTATTTATTCATTTATATTTTTGTCAACTAAATAACAACCAACTTAACAAGTTTAATTTTAAAAATACATTCATATTATGGTTAGAGGTAGTCAACAAGAAACCCTGAACCCGGATTTTGTGCTACTTGGCACTCCTCATGTTGAAAATTGATTGGTCAAAAAGTAATGACAATTTTAATAAAATAATTTACAAAGTTTGGTGAACTTATACAAATTTTAAGTTTTAATAAATAATTTTTTTGACGTTTAACAACGGATTTGTCGAGAAGAATACATAATATAAGAAAATCAAAACATAAATAAACGATTATTTCTATACAGAATCATAATGAGTAGGTGTTACACAGTGATAAAATCAAATTAAGGCTGTCAGTCATACATAATGCAAGGTACAAGAATATTACTATAAATAACTAGAAATGCAGAGTTGATAACTAGAAAGCAATTATGTCTCCAAATAAAACTGATCATCACAGAGATGATAATCTATATTTTATATTATCAAATAATTTGATATTTTTGACTTAATGTAAAATACACACTATCTTGGAGAAATCAAGAACGAACTGTATTGCTTTTTATTCGATTAGGTGGACAAAAGTAAGTGAATAACTAAGCAATTTTGGGTAAACAACGAGAGAACTAGTTGTCTAAAATGTTATGAAACTGATGATAACAAATATTGATCCATGAAGTCAATAATTGTTGGTCAGCCAGAGATATATCAGTAAGTTCAGATTTCTTATTGAATAGAAATATATCCTATTCATAAGCTACAAGTTTAAAAGTAATATCATTCACATTGGAACATTGAAAATTGGCTTACGAATTCATAGTCTAAGATATTTAAATAGGCCATTATGATTACTGTCAAGCTTAGTTGTAGAATTTAGTTAGATAAATCTATACAATACTCTGTAAATGATCATTTAAAGGGAAATCGCTACAATATTCTTCGAAAAATTATATTGTAAAAGAACCTATTACCTTCTATTTTCCTTAAATATGTTAGCCATAAATTAATTTCTGACATTATTTCCGATATTAAACTCAATTTTCGAATACTATATACATTGGTATATGTATTTTAAAAAACTTGATTTTTCACAGCAATAAAATGTAACAAAACAAAACTGTTAGTTCATTGATAGTTTGGTCATCTATTTCAACTGTATAGGGATAAAACTCATTGTGTTTAGGTTGGCCTGATCTTATTGTATAACTTTAATGAATTTCAAAACTAAATATTTTCAGGTTTCAATGAACTTGAATTATATAGTTTAAAACAGTGAAGTGGAATATAGGTCGTTTGATGCGTAATTTATCCTAAAAAAAAACTCAAGAACAATACTCGGCATGGCTAAAAGAAGGAG